CAGGCCGCTATTGCGACAGTCCTAGGGGGAGCCAATCTCCTCTAGGTTCGACCCCTGTAGGGGTATTCCCTTAGGTTTGGTGTCTTTTTAAGGGTCAGAAGACGTGTTTGTAATTTTTTGGGGCTGCTGGGATATTCGGCAGCATTTTCGAATCAGATTGCCGTGTCTCTGGCTTCTTGGTTTGATCAAAATCAGGTTTATTCCTCCTTTATTTGAAATTATTGGTGATCTGTTGAATTCTTCTATTTAATATTATGATTGATTCGAGTAATAATAAAGAAACTCTTTCTTCGACACAACACACACCGGCTCAACGAGTTACCAGTATGCTATTAAATGGCCGTAATTTAGCATCCTGGGCTCGTTCCCTCCACCTCTATGTTGGTGGAAAAGGCAAATCAGGGTGGATTTTGGACATTGAAAAGATTCTCAATATGAGCCTCTCAGTGAATTTCCTCCCTAGGCAGCCTCTCTTCTTGTCAAACGTCTTGATCGTCAGCATACCTATCAGTTTTTTATGGGATTACGCCCAGAATTTGAAACACTAAAGTCTCAGATCTTGAACGCATCACCAATGCCATTCCTGTTGGAAGCCTTTGCTACTGTTGATGGTGAAGCACGCAGGCACCGTTTAATTCAGCCCTCACTTGTTCCTCCACCAGTGTCTGAGCCTGCTGGGGAAAGTATGGCTTTTGCAACCAACTTTGGATCACGTACTTCTGCAGGTCAGATTATTTGTCACCATTGTGGAGGGGTTAGACATGTTTAGGCTCGTTGCTTCAAACTTCATTCTGAATTGAAGCGAAATTTTCTAGGAACCATTTATCTAGATCTGGTTCTTCTCGTATTACGGCTGTTGCAGAGACTCCTGCTACTACTAGTGGATCTACTGTATTTCCTGGACTGAGCCAGCTTCAGTCTCAAATTTGGCTCCCTTGCTTCTAGAGTTGGTGTTCCTTCAGCTGCTCCCACTGCCACTATTGCTACAGGTACTCCTACTGCATTTCATGTTAAGGCCAAGCAGCCCACTTCGGTTCTGGATTCTGGGGCCAATGATCACGTGACGGGTGAGTTTTCAGTTTTTTCTTCCAATGTCATACCTGTCACCCAATCTGTGTATCTTGCGGATGGCTCTACATCTTACATTCACAGTAAGGGTGATGTTTGTCTATCTCCTGATATTACTCTCTCATCTGTCCTTCATGTACCTAAATTTGCCTTTAACCTTTTATCCGTTAGCCGGCTTGCAAAAAACTTCCAATGTGCAGTTATATTCTCACCAGATCACTGTTTGTTGAAGGACCTTTGTTCGAAGAGGATTTTTGGCAGGGGTTATGAGTGTGATGGGCTTTACTACTTTGGGGAACCACCAGGAACGGGTCTTTAAGCTTCTGTCCTACCTACTTCTAGTGTTTATGATGTTTCTTTTCGCACTTTTAGTTTGTGGCATGCACGTTTGGGGAATGTAAACTTTCAGTATCTATGTTTATTGTTTCCTTCGTTAAATAAAGCATGTAAGGACCATAAGTTTCAATGTGAAGTTTGTGAGCTTTCTAAACATATTAGAACTAGTTATATTTCTCATATGAGACGTGCTCCTAGTATGTTTGATCTTATTCATTCTGATGTTTGGGGCCCTTCCCCAGTTACTGCTTTCTCTGGGCATCGATATTATGTGACATTTATTGATGATTATTTTCGTTGTACTTGGATTTATTTATTGAAAAAGAAATCTGATGTGTTTTTTTAATTTACCCAGTTTCTTCAAATGATCAAAACCCATTATAACACTGTTGTCCGTAATATTCGTTCTGATAATGGACGTGAATATTTCGAATGAATTCCGGACTGAACTTAATAAAAAGGGGATTTTACATCAACTCACTTGCCCCTACACTCCTGAGCAAAAAGGCATAGCTGAACGCAAAAACCGTCATCTTATATCTGTGGTCCAATGTTTTCTGAGTGGTATGCATGTGCCTAAATTCTATTGGCATATGGCTGTTCTTACAGCTACTTTTCTGATTAATCGTACTCCCAGTCGAGTTTTGGGTGGTAAGGCCCCACTTCAGATTCTCTAGCCTGACTATACATTGTTTCACCTTCTGTTTCATGTTTTCGGCTGTACTTGTTTTGTTCATAACCGTAATCCTTCTCCTCATAAACTTGATAATAAATCTATTAGGTGTATTTTCTTGGGGTATTCTGCTATGTCAAAGGGCTATCGTTGTTATGATCCCGTGGCCAAAACATATGTATCATTCTCTTGATTTCATGAAACTGTTCCTTTTTATAATACTAATTTTGTGGTACAGGATTCTCTCTCTTATGGTCTGGAGAAGGAGATTTCTCCTATTGCCCGTCCTGTTCCTCTCTTTGAAAATCACACTGTCCAGGAATCTCCTTCTCCATCCATAGAGGGTTCCCCTCCACCTTTGTAGGTCTACTCTTGTTGCCATCGCACTCAACATCCCCTGCCAGAATCATCTTCAGAACCAGGTCCAGGTAACTCTCCTTCCCCTGTGGCTCCTACCATTCCTGAGCATACATCCCGTTATCCTACCCGTGATCGTCACCCTCCTAATTGGTATGGTTTCTCTAGTAGCACTAACCACCCTATCTATGATGGTCTTTCAGGTGCATATAAATTCTTCCTGGGCAATATTGGGACCGTTTCTATTCATCGATCAGTGTCAGAGGCCCTCCAGGATCCCAATTAGGTGTCTGCCATGACAACAGAAATGGATGCTTTACAACATAATAATACATGAGAACTTGTTGCTTTACCTACGGGGGAGAAAACGGTTGGCTGCAAATGGGTCTTTAATGTGAAGTGCTTAGCCGATGGTTCTATCGATCGGTATAAGTCTCGGTTGATGACAAAAGGCTTTACTCAGATTCCGGGTAAAGACTTTGGCGCTACCTTTGCTCCTGTGGCAAAGTTGATGTCTGTACGACTGCTTATCTCCTTGTCTACTGTCCATTCTTGGCCTCTGCATCAATTAGATGTCAAGAATGCATTTCTTAATGAAGACTTATTTGAGACTATATACATGGATCCACCCCCTGGGTTTCGGGCTGAGGGGGAGTATGCTGGGAAAGTCTGTCGGCTGCGGAAGTCTCTTTATGGTCTGAAGCAATCTCCTAGAGCTTGGTTTAATCGTTTTCGCGATGTTGTTTTATCCATGGGCTTTGTGCGCTGCCACTCAAACCATACTTGCTTTATTCGACGTCGCTGTGATGGTCGCTGCATTATGTTATTGGTATATGTGGATGATATCATTATCACGGGTGATGATGCTTCAGGGATTGCTCAGGCGAAACTTCATCTTCAAAAGTCCTTTGATGTGAAGGACTTAGGCCCTCTTCGATATTTTATTGGAATTGAGGTTGCTAGATCCCGTCGTGGAATTTTTTTATTTCAAAGGAAATATATTTTGGATCTTCTTCAAGATACTGGCATGCTTGGGTGTCGACCCACTTCCACTCCTATGGACCCCAATCTCAAACTCTCTGTTGAGTTAGGGGAATTACTTCCAGATCCGTCCGTGTATCAACGTTTAGTAGGTCGTCTTATCTACTTGACTAACACAAGGCCCGATTTGACATTTGTTGTTAGTGTGATTAGTCAATTCATGCATGCCCCTCGCTCAGTTCATATGGATGCAGTCTACCATATTTTGAGGTATCTTAAGTCATGCCCTGGTCTTAGTCTGTTCTATGCATCAGGAAATCAGTCTGGACTCTCATGCTTTACTGATGCAGACTATGCTGGATGTAAGACAGATAGACGTTCTACCTCTGGCTTCTGTACTTTCTATGGTAATCATCTCATATCATGGAAGAGTAAGAAGCAAGTTGTTGTCTCCAGATCCTCTGCTGAAGCTAAATACCGAGCTATGGCTCAAAGTACTTGTGAGCTCCTTTGGCTTCAATCAATTTTGGGAGAGTTGGGTCTTGTAGAGAAAGGTTCTTTGAGGCTGTTTTGTGACAATAAATCAGCCATTATGCTTGCTTCCGATTCTGTCTTACATGACAGGTCAAAACATATTGAGGTAGACATTCACTTTATTCGAGAGAAGGTTCAATCAGGTATCATTAATCCTATTTTTGTTCCCCTTCAGAACAGACTAAAGATGTGTTCACAAAGTTTGTTGGGCCTTCTCTTCTCCAGTCTTACATAGTCAAGCTGGGCTTGGTCAACATATTTGCTCCAGCTTGAAGGGAAGTGTTGGAAATCATATCTATAAGTTGACTCAATGATTGTGACAGATTTATTAGGTCTTCATTATATGCTAATGTTTAGGGATTTTATTTTTATTCTGATTTGATTTTATTCTCTTTCCATATTTGTAATTTTCCTCTTGTATATAATGATAGTCAGGCTCTTAAATTGAGTACGCCAATTTTACCAAGTTTCTTTTATATCCATCATTACTAACTCTACACATCTTAACTTTGTTCTTTCTTTCCTTTATTATCACCCTCAATGTGGACCATGTCACTCTTTCTAATTCCGTCGGTGTCATTTTTGCAGGCAAGCTAAAGGAAACTGAGATGTAGTAAGCACATTCTTTCCAATAGCTAATTAGCAAGACAGGAAGTGAGTGACCAGTTCGTAAAGATAGATAATGAATGGTAATATATCATGAATAGGCCGAAAGCCTGAGTTTTTTAACAAGCAAAAGGGAGAGACCGTGATCATATTTTAATCAAGACACACATACTCCTGTGACTACATCCAATTTCAATCATATTTTAATCAAGACACACTTCCCCTTTGGATGTTAGGAAATACCACTCAAACTACCAACTAGAAAAATAAGGTTAGTTGTATATATGTGCAAATAACTAAGTCATTACTATTCTACTAAATCGCACATAAAAAGCTACATTGCATTCAAATTGCAAACAAACTTATCAGCCATACATCTTCTCATTAATGTATAGAAACAACGAGAGACAAGCTAATGTTTCAGTAAGAAATTAAATGATGATACCTCAATTGCGTTTTGCACGGCGTTTGCCATCTCAAATTCCACAAAGCCAAAACAAAATCCCTGCTGCTGTAATACAAAATAAGTGAACTAGTGGCTAACAATAAGGAACCAAAAATAAAGCATATAAAAGAATCAGATGAGTCATACTCTGTTGCTCCTAACTTGAATGCCATCACTTCTAATTGGTCCAAACCTCTTGAACTCTTCCTCGAGTAGTGCAGGTGTGGCATTAAAAGGCAAACCTTTTATGTAGATTGAGAAACCATCAGCTGAAAGAAAAGGAAAAAATTAGATAAAGGGGATGAATAGATAAATAAATATACATTAAACAATTCACCACCATTTAGTATGGAAATTCAACAATAACAAGGAATAATCAAAGGTAACGTTTGACATTGGGCTTCATACCTTCGCCATCTTGGTTATTCACATTCTCAACCACATCTGAACTGGGAACTGTTGTCTCAGCAGCTGGGGTGGACGGCTGTGGGCTCTTTGAAACAGACTTCCGAGGAGCAGGTGCAGGAGACGAATATGGCATGACACTCTCCTTCATATGCATCACCTAAAACAGAAATAAAAAGTTGCTTAGCTTTTAGACATCCAATGCCAGGCAAACAACACCAGAAAGACTTGGGCAAAAGAGATCATCTTGCCCGGGGACTCAAAAGAACAAAAATAAAAAAATACCAACAATTAAAATAGGGCATAATCTGTGCCCACCCAAAACTCATCACTCCAATGCTACATACTTAAACATACATGTAAGATTACCAAGGAGCAATCTGTCACTACTATTAAAGTAAACCAACTCTTGCAAGTTAAGAAATATTTCAGTGTTTTAGAGGAATTCTTCAACGGCCACCACTTACAATGGATGCATAAGACTTCTTTGGCACTTCTTCAATTTTGGAATTAGATGCAACAATCATCTGTGAACCATCCTGTATTTCATCAACAACCTCGGGTATGGGCTCTTCCTCTTCTTCTACAACTGGCACTTGTCCATTGTCAGGGGGATTGTACACTTCTTCCCCATTGGCTACTTCAGCCAAAACCATTGTTTGCTCAGATATGTGATTCTCTTGCACAGGAGAAGGATCTACCGACCAAACAAAAAAATTCAACATACGCAATAAAACATAACTATATTAAGCAGGAAAAAAAAAAAAAAAAAAATGATTTTATAAATTACCCAGCTCTGGGGTGAGAGGAGCCTCTACTTCATTAGCCGAAACCTGATTTCCATCATGTTGACTGATGTCTTCCACATATCTAAATATGTCATTCAAAACAAAGTAGCCTCTGTCCTGTGGCGCAAGGAAGAAAGTTTGAGCGAAATTCCGAATCACGTTGTCCTTCCCCGTCAAATACCCAGTTACAAGGACATGGACTCCACCATCAAAAGACTCTTGTGCATCCACGGATTTGATCTCCGCCCTGAGTTCTCCATAGTTGAGTGACAATATCTTCTCATTGATAGACTGTGCATAGAGATTCAGCAACACATACAGAAAAACACATTAGAATTGCAAAATTCCCAATTAATTTACACTCCATTCCAATAAGTTTTAAGACCCAATTAGTAAAATAAACCCTAAAGTAATTGTGAATGTGTTTGAGGTATGGAGCGAGAAAGCTCACATTCATGGTTGTAGTAATACCCATGGTCCCATTGTCCTCAGGACGACCAAGCTTACTGATATCCTGATAAAAACGAAAAACAAGCCCAGGCGATTTGTGCAGTATTTGATAGTATTGTTGAACAAAAGCATTGCCAACCTAACAGCACCCAAAAGATTCATTCAGAACCAACAACTCAATGAAAAATATAGCAAAAGAACAAAGATACATCATAATCAATCAAAACATACAACATGAGCAGATACTGGTTGCTGCACCGCCGCCGCCATTACTGATCGATCCCCAAAAAGCAATCAAAACCCTAATAAACCCGCCAATAGCTCAACTATCACGCCAACTACAAGATACGTTAAAAAAAAAAACCATAAAGCCCTAATTTTTATTGAATTATAATGAATTTGTTCAATTTGAGATTATCTCGCATAAAGCATTACATGAATATAGATATAAAGATCCATTGATTCAAGTAAAAGAACTGTGTACCTGAATTTGGTTCAGATCGGAGAGGCTCTCGGAGAGACTGAGGTGATAAAATTGGCCCTCTCTCTTTCTCTCTCTACTTTCTCACTCCTCCCGTTCGCAGTTCCTAGGGTTTCTTGCGTAAGGGTCTTGGGGATCTTGAAGGGACGCAGCTAGACAAGAGAAAGGAGGAGTGAGAAAAAGGTTTCTGTGGGTTTATATACACACACACACACACGACAGAGGACTTTACTTAAAGAGGAAAGCCAAGTACAAATAGGAGCTGTAACATGGTTATTTACAGTTGAACAGTAGTGTGGTGTTTTTTTGATCTTTTACCTGCCAAGAATATGAATATTGACAAACAACGAGACGATATAAATATATATACTCATATACATGGGAGTATTACATAAATTTAGATATTGGACATTTGACGAGTGACGACATTTCTAATTATATTTTAATTTATTTTTATGTAAATTTTTAATCTAAGCTCACAGTACAAGGTGGTGTTAATCCTTTCAATCAAATCCCATGGACAAGACTTACAATATATCTAATAATCTTAAAATTATTACTCCGTAAGTAATTAATAAGATGATGTACTACAAATAGTTGAAAAAGTCTACAAGTTTTATCTGAAAATCAGGTTAATTTCAATTTGAGAGAATATTTATAGTTGAAGGTTGTGGAGGTGAAGTCAAATAAGTGTGTGAAATCAAAATTCAATGGGTGATCAGATAATATTTCCTTTTGATGGATGTATAATTTAAATATTCATAATTAAGGAAAAATTACTAAATTAACACACTATTAAGATAGGCTCTGCAGATTACGATAAGGATTACAGATTGAGATAGGCTTTACAGATTACGATAAGGATTAAAGATTGTGATAAGGATTAAAAATTACGATGACGATTAAGTTTACAGATTACAATAAGGTAATTCTACGTGACATCTTAACCTAAACCCTAACTCAATTTCTCGATTTCTCCAGGGAGATTATCATTCACACTGACTTGTTCGTCGGAGCCTACTCCACCGGTAACACACCGGTGTTCGTAGGATCACTTTTTTTTCTCTTTATTCAGGAAGTCAGATCAGATCCAGGTTGCGCAGAATCCATCATCAACAGTTGGCGCCGTCTGTGGGAATGATTTTAGTTCTCTAAATAAAGTATGGTTCGATTGCGATCTGGTCTGGTTGCTGGCGAATACGAAGCGTTGCAAACTTCTGATCAAGGGGACTCGACGAGGCAACCCCCCGCCGTCCCAAACGATCAGGAACGCATCACAGCATTGGAACAACAGGTTTAAACCCTAAATAAGGGAATGAACCAATTAGTCCAGAAAAATTCAATGATTCTACAACGCTTAACCGCCCTTAATGAGGTGGAGAATAATGAAGTACCCAAGAATGACTCCCGTAGGATTGACAACGACGCTGAGCTTAGTCAAATAGGGGGTCAACAGAGAAGCCATCACCATCGGTCTCTTGAACGGAATAATACCAGGCTCCGTGCAGGTACCTCTGGTTGTGTTGGTGACAAGACTGAAGACGTCATTTATTTCAATCTGTAGATGCAAGATCTGAGAACTAGGGTCAAAGACGTCATGCGAGCAATGAAAGGGAAGGGCCAGGCCACAGTGAACGATCTGGTACAGAAGACCAACCTAGCATTTAGCCTCGCTGTTATGTTATGAGTTGTCCTCTACCTAGCAAATTTAATATGCCAACTCTTGAGAGCTTCGATGGGACGCGGGACCCTCTCGATCATTTGGAGACCTACAGCCAACTCTTGAGAGCTTCGATGGGACGCGGGACCCTCTCGATCATTTGGAGACCTACAAAGCTCTTATGTATTTGCAAGTCGTACCGGATGAGATTGTGTGCAGGGCTTTCCCTACCACACTAAAGGGTTGGGCTCGTCCTTGGTTCAATAAATTAAAGCCAGGCTCCATTGAAATCTTTAATGAGTTGAGCAAACAATTCATTGGACACTTCATCGCTGGGCAGAGGCATAGGAGACAGCAACATACTTATTGAATGTGAAACAGCAGAAGGGAAAGCCTCTCCGTGGTTACATAAGTCGTTTTAACGCTGATATGCTGCAGGTAGAAGAGGTGGACGACAAGGTTGCCCTCACAGCCTTTATGGGAGGACTACAGACTTCTAAGTTCCTATTTTCTTTATCAAAAGAAGCCCCTACAAGCATGACAGAGTTGATGGTTAGAGCATGGAAGCACATGAACGCTGAGGATGCTATAAATGCACGAAAAAACAAAGATGGTGAAGATAAGAGGTCGGAGAAGAAGAGGCTAGCACCTAACACTAGGGAGGAAAAGGAATTGAAGTACAAGAAATTCTTAAACAACCAGGCTGACAGATCGTCTCGCCGCCCAGTGAGCCCAGGCAGGTATAATAACTATACCCCCTAAATACATCTGTAGATCAAGTCTTTCTGCAGATTCAAGATGACGCATCATTGAAATGGCTGCCAAAGCTAAAAACTGATCCAACAAAAAGGTCTCTAGGTAAATACTGTAGGTTTCACCGGGACCATGGACATAACACAGAAGATTGTTTCGACCTCAAAAACCAGATCGAGAACCTTGTTCGTAAAGGTCATTTACGCAAATTCACAACTGGAAATGGAAAAGGAGGCTCCAACCCAGCCCGGGGGGCCGAGATGATCGCCCTCCTCAACACCAACCAATGGGTGAGATCAAAGTTATATCGGGTGGCTTCGCTGGTGGTGGTGAGACGAGTTCAGCTCGGAGGGCTCATGCTAGGAGTATTCGGAGTTTTTCAGAGGTGAATGAAGTTGGAATGACAAGTCCTCCAACAAAATTACCTCGAGTTGAGGAGCCGGTTGTAATACCCCGTAATTTTAAAGAGTTTATTTAAATTAATTTTGTGTTAGGTTAATTCTTTAATGGGTAGATTTATTCACCTTTTAATTATATATGTTAAATTAATTAATTAATTTTATTTATTTGTGCATGTAATATTGATTTTATGTTCTATATATTATAATGATTAGTTTAGACATTTTTATTGGTTATGTTTTAGATTAATTAATATTATTTAATTAAAGTATTTAATTTGTATTGTATAACAATAATAATAATAATAAAACAATGTCATGATCTAAAGTTAATATTATGATAGAATTTCATTTACTATGGTAGAATGGTAGATCAAATAACTTGACTAGGATTTGCATTACCTTAAAGCCATATAGGTGGGAATGTTGAAAGTTAATGTAAATTTAGATATTTGTATTATATATATTATATAAGTTGTATATATATATTAGTTAGCCAACTTACCCTTAAGGCAACTCACTTAAGTTAGAAAGCTTAAAAATTACAGAGAGCTATTTTATAAGAGTGAAAGGAAAAGAGAGAGAGAAAGAAGCTTGTACCGGTGTAGGCGATTTTACCCGACTACGCACAACCGGCGGATTTATTTTAAATCCATAAGGCAAGTTATTATCTACTTTTCCCCTTTGAATCCATAAATTATTCATTTAATTTATTTCGGCTTTTTAGAGACTAGAAACCATTCTAGGAATTTCAATAAATTAAATTTTTTAGTTTATTAAAGTAATGAGATTTTAATTATTAAAGGTGTTAGATAATTATTTATTAGCCTATGTAATTAAAATATAGCTAGAAATAATTATTTAAGGCTTTAGGGATTTTTTTAGAATTTTCTAAGACTTTTCGGGAATTTTCTGCAATTTCCGGCGAGACTCCGGCGAGGTTTCCGGCCACCGGCAGTGAGGAAGGTGACCGGAGTGATCCGGCGTGATACAGCGCACAAGGGTTACTATGCGCGTGCATCAGCAGCCGTTAGATTTAATAGCAATCAGTAGATCAATTGCATGTAACGCAGAACATTGTATATCGATGTACACGCATCAATAGCCGTAGGATTAATTTAGGATCAGTAGATTAATCCAGTGCAGCAAGCCCACGGAGAAGCGGTACAACCGACCAACCAGCACACGCCACGTCAGCTGGAACCATTAATGCGCGCGTGGCAGCGCGTGCGCGCGCGTGACTGATTCCAGACGCGCGTGGGGGCGCGTGTAAGCGCGTGCGCGTGTGAGAATAGTGGAGGCGCGTGTGGGAAGCTCTGGGAGGCGCGTGGGGGCGCGTGAGGGACCCCTACAGCTACTGGAAAAGTCCAGAATACCCCTAGGGACTGTTTTGTAAATTCCAGAACCTTAAACGTGCATTTTTAGGTACTGTGTTGGTATTTACGGGTTTAACGGGCCACGAAATTATTATTTTAATACCCGGTAATTATTCTTATGGGCGATTAATCTTTTCTAAGCATTTATTGGCTCGTTTACAGTACGGATATTAATGTGATTTATTTAATGACATTGTTAAATATAAATAGTGTTATTATCTTATTAAATGGCAGCAAACATTACTGTTAAATTAAATAATGCCATGGTTTTAGTCATATAAATTATCCATGATATCTTATGGGATGTTTATACTGTTAAATGATATATAAACCATGATTATTATGCTGTGTGCATTTCAGGAAATAAATGGACTGTTTAACTATGTCGCACTTATATTATATGGGTGTGTTGCCATATAGAACCATGTGAGCTGGCTAATAAGTTTAGACTCATTTATACCTTATACATTCGTTGCGATAGACAGATGTGTGGCTGTCGGGGTATGTGGTTTAATATTATTGGCATGTGTTGCCTAATGGACATACTCAGTTTATTTAGTATTATTATTGGCATGTATTGCCTAATTGTTATGCTCAGTAACTCATTAGTACATTGAAATGCGTTACTACTGTGTAGTTTTTACAGTCTGTGTTGTCAGTACCGTGCACCATGTATAATAGCTGATTTCCCGGGTGGGAAAGGAGACACTTAACCACCTAGTGTGAGTCTAAGTGATCACCGTCTATTTTGGTTGAGGTCATGTTATACATTGGATAGTTCCCTTAGGATGTATGCAAATATAGTACTCGACCGATTCATAATGATTAATTTATTTGATTCTCTGATTTGGGTCATAGTAGAGAGGACTTGCTCGTGGGGTTGACCCACCATTGTTGTTATTTCAGGATACGGTTAGTACCCGTTCCAAGGTTGAGGTTAGCAGTGTGGGACCACCATCCGAACTCATCTACTCTTACGATCCAGTTTAGGGTAGAAGTTTTATGTATTACTTCAG